AAAGTTGATCACTCGGGAGAGCGACGGTGAGCCGGGAGCGGGTCTGTGAGCGGGGGCAGCGCGGCCGGACCCTCGTGCCTGTCCCCGGCTGCCGCCCCGGCCATCGGGCTCGTTCTGGTGCGCTGGCTTTTGTTCCAAACTCTTTGTGCAACAACTGGCTGGAGCGAGGGATCCATCCTCTCCCCATCCCGCACAATGAAGCGGGGTGAGGGTCCCGCGGCGCCCCGTGTCCCCCGGCCGCTCCCAGCCCCGCCGGGCGCCGTGGGGCGCGGGGGTGGGTGTCGGGGTGAGGGAGCACGGCCGGGGCTCCCCTGCCCGGGAGAAGTTCCATTTCACAGATGAGGTTTTGATATGCAAATGGAGATGGGTCCCAGGCCGGGGAAGGGTGATGGGTTTCATCAGCTGCCCGCTCTTGATTTATACCGACCCGAAAAAGAGCAGCTGATGATTTCTGGGTTTTTATGAGGGTTTTCTTTTGACTGAACTTTTCTTGGGCAGAAACAGAGTCAGGAGGGAATAAGACTGTGAGTTTGGGGTCTCATTACTGGAAAGCAAGAGCAGAGTGAGATGCACTGGCCATTCCTCTGGTGCAGCGTTTCTCCTCTTTTCTTTCCAGTGCTCACTCGCTGCTTTTTAAAATGCGACTCTCTGTGAGAAGAACATCATTTTACAGTACAGAGAATAAGGTTGCAGGCCGCCTCTTTCTTTCTCCTCCTTTTTTTTTTTTTTTTTTTTTCAGGAGGCTTGTCCATTTAAATTAACCTTTCTCCCAGCTGGGCACACAAATGTTTTTGTTTTAGTTCAGAGAGGGTTAATTCTATTCATCTCTCGCCAAGGCCGGCCTGATCCGGGGCAGCACAATCTGCTCTTTGAGCCGGGCTGGCCAGGCAGGACGCGGGTGCCTTCTCCTGCCTCCAGCGTGGGGCTGGGACCCCCGTGTGCGGGGTCGATGGGGAGCACGAGTGGGATGCCCCAGCCCACTGCGTGCCGAGCTCGCTGCTGTCCCGAGCAGGGGCTGGCACACAGAAAATTTAATCCCTGTGTTCATCGATTGTAAGTTTTAAAAAAAAAAAAAAAAAAAGGCCCCTGAAGCAAAGGCGCCTGGTTTGGGGGTGGGCTTGTTTGGACAATGCAACTGCTCTGCAGCGAGGGGGGAGTTCCTCCACTTCTGGGGCTTGATTTTCACAGGATAGTTTTCTTGAAATAAAAATTGACAATGAAAAAAATCGTTAGGAAAAATAAGGGGAGAAAGAAACCCCAACACATAACACATCTGTTTGTGTTTGAGTCATCATCAGAGGCGAGAGGGGAGCGAGATGCTGTTGGGATTTAAGTAACACATGTGTGAGATCTCCCCCTCTGCCCTCCCTCCCCAAACAGCTGGTATTTAGCAGCTTGAGATTTAAACCCAGCTAAAGGGTGCTGCAGGGGGGTGTGATAGGGTCAGTTAATCAAGAAGCAACTAACTGGTACACAGTTGAAAAGATGTTAAATATATTAATGAATTGCAGTGCTGAGTGTTGCCTGTAATCTTTTTTTTCAGTGACAAAAGATTTTCTTAGCTGTAAATCACATTGTGTTGTATAAATGGGATGTTTTGCTAGCAGCAGCTTGGCCTCCTCTTGCTTTCCAACCAGACCAAATCCCAGCACCGTCTGTCCTGGGGTTTGGGTGAGGGACTGTGTCTTCACTTTTGGCCTCACTCTGGGAAATAGTCTTTGTTTCTCCTCCATCCTAAAGCACCGATATGGAGAATCTCACAAGCCAGCTGCACCAACATGCTGCCTGATTTCCAAGGTAAATCCTGCGGGGAGCTGTAGTGGCTGTAGACTTTTAAGCTGGGTCTCCAGGGATGGGGTGATCCCCTCACAGCCTGGGGAACTGCTGGGATACAGCCACACCTGGTCCCCTCCTGGAATGCGGCCGAACACTGAAGGTGCTTCCCTTCACCTGCTGGGGTGTTTGCCCTCAGGAGTGACAGAGGTGGGAGTGGTGACAGGGGCTTGCCTGGGAGCTGAGGGTGTGTCCCCATACTTTAATTTATTTGCTGCGTATTTTACAATCTCATTCATGTGCCCTGGTGCTTTCTCTATGTGCCTTTGCCATGTGTTTCAGTGGGATTTGAAGGTATTTCCTTTTGGAAATGCATAGCAATTTTCTTTTAAGAATTATCAAGATTGTTCATTTTGCTGAAGGGAAAAGCAAGTCTTTTGAAAAATAAGTGTATTGCTTCTACTGTTTGCTTTATTAAATATAGAAAAGAGGAGATTCCTTCTCCTTCTCTTCCGTCTTCTGTGACTCTTGTGTAACATCATCATATTCTTGGAGAATTTACATTGTATGTGGTATGAAACCTACCATGACCTCTGAAAACAATACATCCTTTAATGTGGCTTCGGGGAGGGGCTAGCGAGGGAGTAGCCATAAAAATCTTCAGGGTTCAAGATGAGGTTGAGATTTTTGTGAGTGCTTTTGTCGTAGCAGCAACTGTTTGATTTAGTGGCCCCTGCTACAATGGGTTGGGAGAACAAAGCCAGAATATCCCGTGTATGAGTTTGTTAAATGTAAGACCCATCGGGAAAATTGGGGAGGGGGGCAGGGGGCAGCTTCCTCAGCTCTCCCTCTGAAATAAAACATGTGCAAGGTATTTGAAAAAAATTTCATCTCAAATACTTTGTTTCATAATCTGCCTTGTCTTGTGTAGCTTTTGAAACTGGAGGAATGAGCGAGATGAGAGGTGACAGAGGCAGGAAGGAAGGCGGGCTTATTCACTTAAAAATGACTATCCTTAGTATGTGTTTTGATATTCTAATGAAATTTCAGGGTTAAGGGAGTTCAGAGCACCCCCAATGCAAAACTGCTTCAGATTTGCCCACGCTTTACCATTTCTGGGAAGTTTGCTGTGGTTCTGCCCTGGCTCTCCCGCCCTTTGCCTGCACCAGGCACTGCATTAAGTAGGGTGAAAACAAGCAAAGGTCAGGAGCAGCAAACTCGTGGGCACAGGGGAACGATGAGGGCCTGGCCATGGTCCCTGCAGGATTTTTTAAACATGTAAACCCCTAAGACTTGGTTTAGGCCATCATTTTTCATCTCCCGGTTCTGTTGGAGCGTCAGTTTGCGGGGAGCAGGGACACCTCCGTGGTCCCTGGGGTCTGTGCCTTTGTTCACGGTGAGTGACGCTGCTCTACGGCAGATTTTAATCTGGAAACGCACCCAAGGAACAGTTTCTGCGGGAGGCATGTGCAGTTCCTGTGGCGATGGGGCCACTCACAGCACCTCGCCTTGCCCTGCTCTGGGAGATGGGGACGGCGCGGGAAGGATTCTGGTTCCCCCTCGCTTTAATCATCCAGGCTTCCCACGTTGGCCGGGTGACGGCCCTATTCTTCCCACAACAAAAAAAGCTGTGCCTGGAAATGAGCCTCCATGGGCTGCTCTGGTGAGGAGCGAGCCCCGGGTGCTGTGCCCGGTGCTGTGCCCGGCGCTGTGCCTGGTGCTGCTGCGTCCATGTGCTCCCTGCCTGCCCCGCTGTGCAAGCCGTGCTTGCCACGGGCTCTCGTCCTGCCCGGCCGTGGCACGGCATTGCTGCTGACCCCGGGATTTATGGCACTGCTGTGGGAGCAGGGGGAGGGCCAGGAGTTAAGCTGAGGCTGAGCTAAACCCTGCAGATAGAGGACTCCTGTGTCCTGGCTAATCCCCAGCCCCCTCCCCTCGTTTATCAGATTGCTGAAGGTGGAGATTATGCACGTGGTGACTACAAAGTCATGTTTAGCTACCTCCCTTCAGAGATGCTCAGATAGCCCCACTCCTGAAATGCACCCACATTCCTTTGGGCTCAGCACATACCTGAGGTGGTCTGTCCTGTAGAACTGGGAATGTTTTGGTGTGAACCAGGGACACTTCTTCAGTTAAAGTTTATGTTTCCTTTGTTCATCCTTCTATTTTAAGGTTTTATAACAGTGAATTTTGCAGAACAGTGCAAATGTGTGTGCTGTGCATAGCAAACCTTTTAGAAATTAACGCAGATTGGTTCTGGTTTCTACTAGGTTTAAACTTTGGAGAAAGCTGCTTGTGAGTAGGAACAGCTGCTTTAGATTTTTACTTGGCTTGTGTAACTGAATACTGGTTTCATTTCTGATCCCAGTACATTGGGCTTATTAATTTCTGTTGCATTCACATATTCTGCAGTAGTAAGAAGCTACACCCTGGTTTGTCAGCTTGCTTAGGCTTTATCAAGGCTGGAGAGGACTTTGCTGTGACTCCTACCTCCTGCTGCTCCAAAAATCCATCCTGTAGATAAACACCTTTGTCTCAGGAAACTCCCATGCCAAATCTAAGTGAGGAAAGCCAGTGCTGAAGTGAGGTTGAGCCAGCACTGTCCTGAGGTTGGGGTTTTTCAAGGTCTGTATCCAAAGGGGAACAGAGGGTGTGGGCAGCACTCCAGACACGATGTGGATTTGTGCAGTTGTGTGTCTGCCCAGTCTGAGCTTCTCCATTCGCTCCCAGTGCCACCTCCCAGGTCCTGCTTCTGCTGTGGGCATTCCTGCCCACTGGCAGAGGCACCGTCCTGCCTTTAAGCCAAGAAACACTGGAAACAATCCGGTTCAACCAGCATCCCTAGGAAATGCATGACTGAGTGAGAGACAGCAGTGTGGTTCCTTTCTGTGTTCTCTGGTTCTGGGCAGTGACTTGTGCTGTGGGGCTGTTTGAAGCCCGGAGGTGCTTGCCCCCGGAACATGTGAGGTGTGACAGGATTTCATAGTCACTGGTGTGTGCCCAGCACAGTTCCTGTATTTACACACCCTGGTCTGTGTTGCTGAGGATGGGACACCTTAGACCCTTTTTCCCATCCAGGTTTCTGGGTGAGCCAGTACCGTGCTTGGCCTCACGGGTCTCAGTCCAGGCAGGCCACGGCGTGCCGAGCCTTCCCCATCCCCTCAGGAGAGTTTGTGATCCCTCGGTGATGCTGTTTTGTCCACTCAGTCTTTGCTCTTGCCTTGCAGATGAGCGGGTGGATCAGCGAACCTGCCTGATCTGCGGGGACAGGGCGACGGGGCTGCACTATGGGATCATCTCCTGCGAGGGCTGCAAGGGCTTCTTCAAACGGAGCATCTGCAACAAGAGGGTCTACAGATGCAGCCGGGACAAGAACTGCGTCATGTCACGCAAACAGCGCAACAGGTGCCAGTACTGCCGGCTGCTCAAATGCCTCCAGATGGGAATGAACCGGAAAGGTAACGAAAACAGGGCCTTTTGTGGGTGGAGGTACAGACTGGGGCCGGTGTTAGCAGCGTGTGCTGCCCCTCCCTCAGCTGCCATTTTGTGTTGCAATTCTGCCTCTAAAACTCTTTGACGAGGAAAAATGAAACTTCAGCAAAATTGTGCACGGATTAAAAACTGTGCACAGATACAAAATTCTGAACTACTTCATTACTGTGTTTGAGCCACAATCTGTGTAAATTGAAACCGTGAATAAATATTTGGAGAACTGATCTATATGATTTAGGGAAGGTAATAGTTCCTTCCTGACAGATCTGTCCTTGCATTGCTTACCCTGAGCGAAGTGGTCACTATTTCTGTGCTTCAATCTGCTAACATGGCAAGAATGAAAGCGTTTAAGCAGGCCTTTAAAATCCCAGGAGATCTGGGCCAGACTTTACCTGTTTGCTGCAGTGAGAGCTTAGACTCACAGCTGCTGCCCAGGGGTAAAGTGTTAGGGTCTTCACTGACCTGGTTAAACCAGGTGTGTTCTGGGTTAGGGACAGCCAGCTCTTGGTCCCCACGTGTGCAGAGGTGACGGAATGCTGTGGTACCATCTTCAGGATGGAAAGTCTGAAATAGCTCAGAAATTAGTAATAATGAATAGACTGGGGTTGTTTTCAATGTCACGTCTCTGCTCTTCCATCTTTTGTCTGTTTAACCTCTGGAATTGCTGGTACCCATTAAAAGCAGGGATTTCTTGGTTTGATGGCAGAAGTGGGGGCTGCTGGTGCTCACCCTGGCAGTGCAGTGGGGTGGTGGAGGGACCCCCTTTCTCCTGCCAAACAGAAGTGTCACCTTATGGTTTTAGATGTGGTCATTGATGCCTCCAGGCCATCACTCATGCAAAAGCCTTCTGTCAGAGGCACTGAAACTTCCATAAATCCCCTGCAAATCCACCAGGATCTTCCTTAGAAAATGCATTAGGGGCCAAGATGGAGAGCTGGCCTCAGGCCCAAGGTGGTCAGGGGGTGGGTTGGTGGGGCAGGTGGTGTCAGGGGTGGGTTGGGGTCCGGGGGGGCCCAGGACCCCCTTTTTTGGGGTCAGGGGTGGGTTGGGGTCCGGGGGGGCCCAGGACCCCCTTTTTTGGGGTCAGGGGTGGGTTGGGGTCCGGGGGGGCCCAGGACCCCCGTTTTGGGTGACCCGCGGGGCCGCAGCGCCACCTGCCGGCGCCAAGAGCCGCCTGTCCTGCTTCCCTCCTCTTCCCTGCCTTGCCTTGTTTCCTCCTCCTTCCTTACCCAAACACTGCATGAAATTCAGTCCCCACCGGTGAAGAAGCTGAGAAGCTTCTGAGTCACAATTAGCAGTGAAATATCTTGGAAAATGAGAGAAATTCCCCCAGAAATGGGAAACTGATTCTGTAGTTCCATTAAGTTAAAAAAACCTAAAGGGGGTAACAGCTAACCACGACAGCTTTTTTTACATCACTCTTTTTTTTTTTTTTTTTTAAATGAGAAACTGGTGTTTTTTTGTAAAGGGCTTCCATAGGAAATAAACAGCCTTGTTTGTTAAAATGAATTTCTTGTCTTGCGATATCGTAAGAGATTTGTGTGATTTCAAAGGTAATCAAATTTGGTTTATATCCTGTGTTTGTGGTTCCTTCAGTGTGCTTAAATGTGTGTTACCTGGTGTTTGAAATGAAAATACTTGCTGTTACATGGAGGGGATGGAGTTTCTGTCAGAAGAATTAAAACTATTGCTGGTCCCATGAAGTGGTGGTGGAAGGGCCTGTGGGGATCCCTGTGCTGCTGGTCCTGGGCTGGTGCAGTTGTCAGTCACCAGGACCTTTCCTCGAGTCCTGTGTCTCGCTTGGGTAGGTGGTTGGGGTTTGGGAAGGTGCAGTTCAGGTCCCAGTGCAGGGAGTGTACATCTCTGCCCTGGCTGAACCTGTGTGCACTCCCTGAGCTGCAGGCACAGCCCTGAGGCACTGAGGAGAGTTTGAGCTGAGGGTATCCAAAACCAAGCAGCAGTGTGGCTCTTCTGGGGCGGAAGTTTTTCCTTAAATTCTGTGTCATTTTCCGCTCTGGGAGGGCCTCCTGCAGCCCCGAGTGCCAAGCAGGGTGAGGCCACGCAGCCACAAGGTCACCGTGCAGCTGGGGAGAGCCTCCTGCCAAGTCTGGCCAGGTCGTGCTGGGAAAGAGATTGGGACCTGATAAACGGGGGACCCAGCCCGGGAGGGGAGGCACATGAGCAGGGCTGTCCTCGAGTGCTGTCAACTGCTGCAGAGCTGCTCTGTCACTGCAGAGGAAAGCAGAGGGAGGAGGAAGGTAGAGAAGATGCTCCAGGATAATCCCTTTAATTAGACTTCACTAAAACTCCCTGGAAGTTGTTTAAAGAGCCTTAAAAATGCAGCTGCTGTACTGAGAAACAGGACCGCCCTTCTGAAATGGAACTGCACAGCTCAGCCTGGTACCTTGGATTTTAAATGATGGCTTTGCAAGAGACTGACAGGGTCGAACGTCTCCCCTCCATTTTCTGTAGTGGCTGTAGGAGGTGTGACCCTCTGAAGTGACAGCAGGGTCAGCAGTCACCAGTGAAGTGCTTTGTCTCTGTGTTGGTGGCAGTGCTGCTCGGTGTCTCTCCAGGTTCTGGCTCGTGGTGGCTCACAGGGCTGTGGGCAGTGGAGTGAGATGTGCTGACCTTCACATCTCATTTTCCAGCAGTCTGGTCATTGGTTGGGTTATATGCAGGGGTGAAGTAGGGTTCCTTGTCATGTGCCACTTCTCTGTGGAATTATGCTGGAATTAATTGGGATAAAGGATTGCTATTCCTTCATCACCTGTCACTCAAGGATCACATGAAGAAACTCAAGTACCTGAGTAATGCTTGTAGCCCCATCGATGTGTCTGTGCCCTTTGGGGTGAGGAACATGATGTGTGCTGCTCAAGGTTTCCTGTGCCCCAGAAAGCACTGGAGATTTCTCCATAAACTTCTTTGATGAAAAAATTGAACCTTTTAAGGTAGAAAGATTTTTTTTCAAAGTAAGTAGATACCTTCTTATGTACTTCTGGAATACCCAAAGTAGTGTTCCTCACCAAGGTTTGGTTGTTTCTTCCAGCAATCAGAGAAGATGGCATGCCAGGAGGCAGAAACAAAAGCATTGGACCTGTCCAGGTGAGCATGTCTGGCTGTCTCTCCCCAGTTCCCTTCAGCTTCTGCCCTCCTGGTCGTGGCACACGGCTCAGACTGTGGTGCTGGGCTCGGACTGTGGCAGCAGCTCGGCCTGGGATGGGGCTGTGGATGTTTTGTTGAGCCTCTGTCATCCCTGCCCGTGCCTTCTGCCGGCCTGGCAGGGCTTTGACTCTCCACAAGTGTTAGAAATGCGTGTGAACTGTAGATTTGTAAATAGAACTCAGTGCTGCCTGTGCCAGGGGGACCCGGTGCAGTCCCAGGGTGTCACGTGCACCCCTGGGCAGCCTCACGGCGCCCTGTCCTTTGTGAGCTGCACAAGGACGTCTGTCCCTCTGTGGCTCCCAGTAAATCTCTGGCTGCCTGCTGCAATGCCTTCAGTTGTAGCAAGCGGGGCACCAGTAAATGTCTCTCTGATTGATGGTGCAGCTTGTCCAGAGATGCCTTGTAAAGCGCGAGGTAATTCAGCACAGCAGCTTGTGCCGCACGCCTGAGAAATGATGGCCATTTCCAGCTCACTTCTGGAAAAGGGGGCTTTTAAAAGTTTACTGTTTATTTTAACAAAACAGAAATAACACTGAAAGCATTTTCTGTGAGTCTGAGTGCCTGGGAAAGACCAAACCCAAACAGTGAGAAGGCTGCGCAGTGAGTGGCTCTGTGGGGAGAGCTGCACGGTGCAGCCGTGCCTGGGGTCAGCACCAGGGAGAGCCTACCTCAAACAACAAAAATCCTCCTTGCTGTTTGCAAGCATCACATTTATAACAGCACTAGTTACTGGTTTTAAAAGCCTGTTTTAGTCTGTTGAAGAACAACAAACATTTCATTTCTGGCCAGGTAACAGTTTTCACTTCTCTCTGAGCAGTGCAGCTGCACTACACCAGCAGCCTTTGCTCACCAGAGTGGGCCCTTGCTCCTCTGAGGTGTTTGTGGTCTGTCCCTGCTGGACCAGAGGTTCTGCTGTGTCACCTCCATTTCCTGGGCTGAGACTGTTAAGGTACTGCACTCTCCAGGTCCTGTACCTGAGTGAGCCCACTGAGTTCTTCTGCAAGAGTGGAATAAACTGTCTGAGCAATGTTTGGCTCTTGAAAATGATGTTCAGGGTTCACTGTGCTTTCTTGTCACATGTTGACTTGAGGTCTTCTAATGGTTTGTGACAGCCTCACTAAGGGACATGCACAGAATAGGAAAAAAAAAGCCTCAGAACTTTTATGTTGCATTTTCCCCACTACTGGTGCAACATTCCTCCAGGATCATGTCCAGCACTTTCTTGAAACTTTGTATTTCAGTGAACTCGATTTAAAAATTTTTTTAGTCCATTTTAGCTTCATATATGTTATTCTCTAATACTTGTTTTAAGTATTAGATGCTTGATTACTACTTCAGGTGGCAACTGGTTCTTAGCTGGGGAAAAATAGAGAACCATGGTTCCCTGTAAATGTTCTCCTTGCTGATTTTATATGTCACCTTGCTTCTCTCAATTGCTTTATCAAACCAGAGCCTGCCCCACCTTCTGTTTCTTTCCCTCTGCCAGTCCTGAGTGATGTTCCTGATGCACTGGCCTCAATTACTCCCAGGTTTTTCACGGTGTGACAGTGGCTGATTTACAGTGTCCATCTGACATCATCTTTTCATTTGTCCATTCCTGTCTGCTGCATTACCATCACTTGAATGGTACTGCAGGAACTGGGGGTCACCACGATTGGCTGTAAATAGAAGTTTTCATGTATGTTGTTAAATGCAAAGGAAGGATGTGGTACCTGCAGGAGGGGTGGAGGGGGTCAGCCCTGTTGGATGTGACTGAAGTCAAGGTGTTCACAGGCAGAGAGAAGCTCTGCCTTTCTGTTCTCAGCCAAAGTAACCATCATGTCCTATATTTGACAGATATCAGAGGAAGAGATTGAGAGAATTATGTCTGGGCAAGAATTTGAGGGAGAGGCAAACATGTCATGGAGCAACAACGGAGACAGTGACCATAGTTCCCCTGGAAATGGAGTTTCTGAGAGCAACCAGCCTTCACCTGTTTCTACGCCATCTTCAAGGTGGGAATGACCTCTGGAAGAATTTGGTGTTAGAGGAATCTTGGTTGCCTTTCCCTGAGTGACACTTGGGGTCAGTGTAGGAAAAACACACGAGTGCATCTCTGTAAACTGGGCATAGCAGGTTCCAACTACCTCTCCGTGTTTTAAGACAGACAGGACTGGATTGAAAAGAATTGAACTGGGAGGTGAGATGCTTGTGAGCAGATGAAAAAAAGGCACTCGAGTTAAATTTTAAATGTATCTCAATTTGTATTGATCATACTTTCTGCAGATCATGGGTACTTGATTACCTTTCACTGCTCACTCTGCATAAACTCTTTTTCTGCACTGTGCTCAGATTTTGAAAATAAAAGACTCCATTTAGGTTAATAATTGGTGGTGTTTAATATTAAAGTCACTTACTGTGAGTGCAAACCTCCTGATGCAGTGAGAATCTCAGACCTGATCCCATCTGCTTTCAGCTGCATCTTAAGCATGGCCACGTTTGTGTTCACTGGCTGTGGAAGTACTTAATGTACAATCCCAAATTCTGGCCCTTTCAGAAAGCTGGGCTGGAAAAGCTGTGCACAGGTAGGTTTCTGCTTTGCTTCCTGAATGGCAGCTCAGCAGCAGCTCCCAGATCTCCATTAACCAGTGCCTGGCTGGGCTCAACGTGCAGCCAGCGCGTGGCTTCTGATCTGCACACTCAGTTATTTCCAAGGCAGGGTTTAAATACAAAGGCATTTCCCATTCTGTTTGCTTTCCCTGTTTTTATTAATATTTCTGAAAGAGCTGGATGCAACGTTGTAATGAGTCAAGTGGAATTTTTGGGGTATATTGAAGAGCTGTTCCTTTTCCAGTAGGTCCGTGGAGCTGAACGGGTTCGCCGCACTCAGGGATCAGTACATCGGCACGCCGGTGTCCACGCACTACCAGTACCTCCCGCACCTTTTTAGCTACTCTGCTCACTCGGCCCTGGTGCCCCCCCAGACACGCAGCCTGGACCCCCAGTCTCACAGTCTGATCAACCAGCTGGTGTCTGCCGAGGACCTGGAGCCGCTGGGGACGCCGATGCTCATCGAGGACGGGTCAGTGTGTACCCGGCACGGCGCCGGGGCTGTGTGTTCCTGCTGGGACGTGGGGCCACAGGTGCCCTGGGAGAAAGTGCAGCTGCACAGTGCAGGCAGCAAACCAGACCCCATCCCATGGGTATCCTGCACCCTTGCCTGGTGCTGGAGCTGGGGTGCGTGGACCTGGGATGGGGTTCCAGGCTATGTGGCCTGGCCAGGCTGGGTGCTGGTGAGTTGGGTGACCCCTGGGGTTGGGGGGGATCCCCTCATAGCCCCCAGTTGGGCAGGGTGGGTGCTCACCATCCTGGCTCCCATCACCAGGTGACACCCTGGGCACTGGCACGTTGGCCACTTGAACACAAATTCCTGTGTGTTTGCCTTGTTTTCAAGTGCCTCATCAGGTGATGTCATTCAATGTTTTTAATGTTTTTTGCCTTCGTTTTAACTGTGCCTGCAGGTATAAAGTGACCCAGGCAGAGCTGTTTGCATTGTTGTGTCGTCTGGCGGATGAATTGCTTTTCAGGCAGATTGCTTGGATCAAGAAGCTGCCGTTCTTCTGCGAACTCTCCATCAAGGACTATACCTGCCTGCTCAGCTCTACGTGGCAGGAGCTGATCCTGCTCTCCTCCCTGACTGTTTACAGCAAGCAGATCTTCGGTGACCTGGCAGATGTCACCTCCAAGTACTCTCCCTCTGACGATGAGCTGCACAGGTGAGATGTCAGGCTGAGCCCACGGGTAAGGCAGTGAGATCTAGAGATGGAGGAGCCGTGGGAAGGACAGTGGTCAGGTGCTCTGTGACCACCTCTCTTGTCACTTCGCCTGCGCCTGTTTTCCTTTTCTGATTTTTAGGGAACAGTTGTTCCAGGCTTAGAAAGCACACCATGGTTAGTCATGGTTAGTCCAGCACAGCCCTACAAAGCACCTTTTTATGAGGAGAGTAAACTAACCAACACTTTTGGTAACCCTGAGATACCTGAAAGAAAGTTTATTTAAAAACCCATTGGGCCAGTGGAAAGGCTGTTCACAAAGCTGGTTATCTGAATTATCAAAGTGTTTATTATTAATTGCTTTTTCGTTGTTTTGATTACATAAATTTAAAAATGTTGCAACTTAGCTCTCGTTTTTTCCATGGTACAGACTATCTGATGCTCTGGGGAACTTGCCTTTCATTTATCATTTTGGTCAGGGTGTTGTTTTTTTGGTTTGGATGTTTTGTTTTGTAGTCTCGGTGCCAGACACATTCTCCTTTTGGTAGTAGAGTCACAATCTCACAATATTCTGGCAGAATAGGTAGGATTTAGGGAAACTGCTGCCTACTCTCCCTTTAAACACCTGCCTCGTGTGCTCTGCCCTCTCTGGGCTCGGCGGTGCTGCCGGAGTCACCGGGGATCCGGTGTCTGATGAGCAGGGATTTACAACACTGCTGTACTCCTCAGCCATTGCGGTGCCTCACAGCTCTTTGAGTTACCTTTGTGCTTCTGTTGTGACAACCAGAGGCACTGGTGGGCTGAGACCACAGTGGAGTGGAGAGCTGGCCCCAGGTGTCTCATTTCCTGGGGCAGGTTCCTCCACGCCGCTGTTCTGCCCGGCCATTCATCGTGCATCTGGTGCTGCTTCTGCAAGGAGCAGTGAGGGTCATAGAAAACCACAATGACACTTGGTCCTGCATTCAGCTGTCCTTTTGTTCCTGCTGTCCTGGTCAGAGCCTCACGAGGGAAGTGTTTCTTTCATTTTGGGTTTGTGATAAATACAAGTGAGGGCTAAAACAGCGAGACAAAGGAGGAATCCTCGCCCTGCAGAAACCGGCAATTCAGAGCTGGTCGCCTCAAAGGTCCTTCAGAGAAGATCTGTGCACATGGATGAAAATAGGTGTTCTTGGGAGAGGAATGCTTCTGCAGTCTCTTCTGATTTAGCTTTTCAAGTATCATTAATTGTCATTAGTAACCTGGGAAAATGCACACCCAAAAAGCCATTTAGCGGGAAGTTGCATAGATGAGGGGTCTCAAGCTGTGTGGCTCCCTCACTCCTGTCTTCATGGTCCTCCAGCCATAGCTTCACTGTCTACCAGCAGCAGTGGGATAGCTCCCTATCCAAAGCAGTCATGAAAAAGCCAGTCCCTTCAGATTTGAGAGGGGCTCTTTTGGAGAGGTGTCCAACGCGTTCAGAGAGCCCCTGGTTCCTCTGACATTGATCCGTAATGACTGCAAAGCAAACTTCAGAGATGGTTGGAGAAATCTCTCTGAACAGGGATAGTCTGGCACTTCAGGGTTAATTTCTGCTCTTAACAAAATGACAAGAGCAATGCTAATGCGTAGGTGACAAACAAAGGCATAGGATGAGCTCCCCAGCCCCTGTGTTTTAATCGCTTCTAACAACTGGCTAAATGTTCTGTTAGCCTGCTAGATCAAATGTTTTCTTTTATTGTGCTGTTTTTCTGAAGATGAATATGAAATGAATAGACTCCTGACCTCCCCCAGCACTCCTGATAGTGCTTCCCTTCCCTCTCCTCCCCAGCTGATCCCGATAACTCCCAGCCAGAAACTCGCCTGGTGTAAACTGCGAGGAAAAGTGTGGAGGAGTCAGTCCTCGAGAAGAAATAGGGCTGTGAAAAACAGAATAGCTTTGTTTGAAAGGGGGGAGGAAAGTATGTGCAGAAAGTAAGACAGTTCAACTGAAGGAATGAGAGAAGAGCTCTCCTGGATTTATGAAGTGATGAGTGGCTGGTAAAAATGTGCATGCTCTAAAAACAATTAAACCCAACAGACGACTGAGTGGTCTTTGTGCTCATTAACTTCTTGAGCTTTGCAATCTTGCACCTGCAAGATTTTTAATGTCAACTGGAGAGCAAGAAAACTTGTACAACTTTAGATTAGCCGACAAGGCTTTCATCACTTACAATATTACTTTCTTGAAGAAGTGACCTGGAGATCAGACAGCTTGTTTTCACTTCGCAGAGGTCGAACTCCACCATGCATTTTACAAATAACTTTGAAGTAAACAAACACACATGCCAAAATAAGGTATTATTCAGTGAAAAAGGTTCTATTTCTGTTCTATTCAGAGATGGCTTGCTGGCTGTGCTCTTGTGCTTTGTGCTTCACAATGCCAGAGGACGCTGAAGCTTCCCGAAACACTTCTGTCCCACTTCTGAGCACTTTTTAATATGTGGTTTCTTTGAAGCCGGGGGTATTGCTGTGAGATGTGTTCCTGAGAGGCCGTTCTGGTCCTGAGCGGGTGTCGGATGGTCTGGAGGTACCTGCAGACACCGGCAGCCCTCCACACCCTCCTGCTCTCCTCCAGCCTGGTCCTTACCCCATGGCTTAGTCATGGTGCAGACGTGGGGTATTTACTCCTGAAGAGGCTTGTCACCCCCTTCAACAGGAGGACCTGGTTCTGCAACCAGAAAATCTCCATCAGGCAATTTCCCAGGAGACTTTTGGGAGATTTGCATTCCCCGTGCATCAGTGTGCCCTGTCTTATCCACCTCTGTCACTGGCTCTGCTGCAGATTCCTGGCTCCATCAAACCATCTCCACTGTCAAAGCAGGCTGGTGGTGAACTGAATCACCAAGAGATTTTTTTTTTTGCTATAAATATCTGTATCAATCAAGTCTGTGGACTTCCATCCCTAGTGTGACTATGCTGGATGGGCTCTGAGTAACACAGTCTAGTAGAAGGTGTCCCTGCCTATGGCAGGGGGATGGAATGAGATGATCTTTGAGATCCCTTCCAACCCAAACCATTCAGTGATTCTATGATTCTAAGTTTGTAACTGAGACATTTTCCTCCTTACTTCTACTTTAATTTAATAATGCCAACAGACTTTGGGCAGTTTTGATGGCAATTTTTTTTAATTCTCTTGCAAGATGTTAAAATCTCTGAATACTTCAAAAAGCTTCTTGCCTTTATGGTACGGTCCACGTGCTGCATGTGCTGATGTGTGGTCTCTGTCCTGCAGATTCAGTGAAGAGGGGATGGAGGTGATGGAGCGCTTGATCTACCTCTTTCGCAAATTTAACCAGCTGAAGGTCAGCAACGAGGAGTATGCCTGTATGAAAGCCATCAACTTCCTCAATCAGGGTGAGTCTGCAGAGAGGGACTGTGAAACAGTCTGAGCAGTCATTGCTTCCCTGGTGGGAAATGGGAGGAAGGGTCCAGGAGCCAGGAAGAGGCTCAGGCCCTGAACGCTCAGTGTGTCTGAGCCATCGTGCTCACACATGGGATGCTTGGGTGCCCACGTGGAGAAACCTGGAACGGGATGAAGTTTTTATTGCCTTTAAATATAGGCAGCAGACGTGTCATTTGAAAATATTACTGCTTTAGGTGACTGTTTAGTTAATTGCCTAAATGATGCTTTAAAACCAGTTAATTTGCATGGCTTTTTTTCTGAAGTAAATGATGACTACTTGCATAACAACCTTCTAAAGATTCACAGCTAGAAAATGTATTTGTTCATTTTTGTGCTTTAAAGGGTGAATTTGTAAAACCAGTACTCCCTTTTTTAGAGCTTTTCCGACTCTTTAAAACATTTACCTCGAGGATATCCTTAGATCACTTAGCTGGATTCCTGCATTTTAGGTTCAGTACCTAAATCTGACTCTTCACAGTGAAAGGTGATCAGGGATGAAGTATTTATGTGCAGGCCATGAATTCAGCCTGGGAAAGGGCTGTAAATCTGCTGATTAAGCAGCACGCTAAAGCTGGTAGTCCTGGCTACTTCAAGACCCTGGACATTTCAAAATCCATGCAGAGGCAAATGCTCAATAGATGGTGTTCGTCTGTAATTTTGGAAATAAATGTCCCCAAAGTATTTTGTACTGTGAAAGATAGTTGCAGTCTGTAAAAATGTGCTGCAGGCTCCCTCCTCCCCCACTCATTTCCAGCAAGAGATAGTGCTGACACTTCAATCTGTGCCGGGCTGAGGTTCCGGTTTGCTTCCCTGGGCAGTTTCCTGACACTGGATAATGCACTTCTCGAGCTGTCTCCATTGTTTTCCAAAATGTATTTTCATTAACTTCCTGTCTTCTTTTATTTTTAGTTGAAGTTTGCAATTTTTTAAGTGAAATACCTGAGACTTATTTTTAAAAGTCAGCTTTTGGGCAGTAGATGAATGCCTCTTCCGTCAGATGGTCCCACAGTTCCGAGCCTGCTCCAAGGGCCTGCAGCTCCCTCGCTGTGCCGGGTCCTCCCCAGGCCCCAGCAGGGTGCCCACACTGTTGGCCACGGTGCCAGTGGCCCTTCTTGCCCATCCATTTGTCCTTTGTGTGGGTTGCCTGACATGGCCAAAGCTAAATTCAAAAATAAGAAGTTGACAAGTTTGTAAAGCTCTTGTGACATAATTCATAAGCAGATGAGGAGAGAGATGTGGTGATACCTTGAATTATAGAGCTGAGCACTGTCCTCAGCCAAGATGGTACAGCTAAAACCAGCGTGTTCCTGCCTGAAGAGGTGTTACACTGATCTGCTGTGAGGACTGAACCCTGACACACGGCCATGTTGTGCCAGGCAGGCATTTCAGGTTGCTGGAGCTGTTATCTCTGAGAGCGTTCGTTGAGCTGCAGGTGAGCAGCTTAGGACATTAGCTGTTCTCTTCCCCCTTTGTGGAGGAAAATCCTGTATCCAGACATGCATGTAAAGATCCACGATGCAGGCATGGCAGGAGGGGAGTTGGGAATTTTAGTATTGGTGTAACTGGGTGCTGGAAGCCACTCTCTGAAGCAGTGACCCAGCTCAGAGTGACAGAAATCAGTCTGTCCTGAGGAAGAGGCAGTAAGTGCAAGGCTGCTGCTCTTCTGGGGTATTTTTGTCATGTTTTCATTGCTGTATTGTGTTCCCTTCCAGACATCAGGGGGCTGACCAATGCATCCCAACTGGAGCAGCTGAATAAGCGGTACTGGTACGTTTGCCAGGACTTCACGGAGTACAAATACCCACACCAGCCAAACCGCTTCCCGGATTTAATGATGTGTTTGCCAGAGATACGATATATTGCAGGTAACTTCCTGAGCTCTTCTCCCACCAGGATCATGTGCAAGTTATGAAATGTGCTTTTAAAAGAAAATTAATTTATAGCAGTGAAATTCTTGTTGACTTTGGTGGAGGATGTTTGTGTAGGACCTTTTGCTGTCAGAGCTTCTCACCCACCTTTAAGGCATTGGCTCAAGCTCACCCAGCCAGAGCAGCAACTGGCAAGGTGTCCTGGTGGTGATGGTGGGCACAGGGTTCCTTCCTGCTCCAGGAAGATGTGCCTGGCTCTGACCTGACACCCTTTAAGTACTTTGGTCAGGTTCTCCTTTTCTTTCTTTCAATCCCAACTCAGAGGCATTTTGTCTCAAATGGGTGTAATCCTGGTTTGAGTAGTTATAAGAACTAGAGAGATCCCTGAAATGCTGCTGAATTAAGGAGAAGGGGATCAGAGCAGTGGGCAGACCTGGAGTGTAACCCCCCAGCTCATTTGGACCTCAGAAATCCGCAGGTGAATCCTCAACTGCAGTTGTCGCTAATTAGATCTCCAAGGTCTGGTGTTACTAAAACTGTTTGTTCCTGAATGTTATGGCAAAGGAGGGATACTTGCCTCCCCGTGTCAAGGCTCCATATGCTTTATCCTACTCCGTCATAACGAACTAGATAATAATCTCAGAGTAGCTCTCGTAATTTACTCATGGAGACCAACAAGGGGGTTTGAGGAGAGATGGGATTTAGTCCTTCCCACTTTCTATAAATACTGCTCCATTGTGGACAAATCATTTTGATCTGACTTTGCCCATTTATTTTGCTTTCTATTCAGTAAATAATAAATCACATTGTGTCCAAATGAATATCAAATGTCTAATGTAGCTGTAGGATGATTAACTGTTTCTCTGAAAGGTTCAAGGTAAAACCATCTCCAGCACTGCTGGCTTAGGTGTCTCTGAAATCTGATTCAGGAGTGGCTGCTAATTCTGGTTTCTTTCTTACCAGGAAAAATGGTGAATGTCCCCCTGGAGCAGCTGCCTCTCCTTTTTAAGGCTGTTCTACATTCCTGCAAGACCAGTGTGAGCAAAGAGTGAGCCCAGCTGGCCCTGGCCGGTGCCTTACGCTGTGAGCTGGCTCACCCTGGGAGAGGGGCAAACGCCATCCAGGCAGGAGATGGGGCAGGGGCGTCCCTGCCCTTGTAGCAAGAGTCTTTTTTGTTTGTTTTTGTTTTTTTACTCTTTTTCCTATATATTTATTTCACGACAGAGTTGAATGTATGATCTTCAACACGATGCACATGGTTCTGTAGGAATGCAGCAGATGCATTCTCCAGCGGTTTACAGAATGTGAAGATGTTTAATGTTACAGTGTTTGTTAGGGTTAGTTCTTTTGTATTTGAGGCTGGGGACCGAGATGACTAAGACTACCTCAAGGAGAAGATGCTGTTCATGCACTGCTCTTTCCATGATTTATATCCAAAAGCATTTGTCGTAGAGAGCAAACGGCCTCACTGCGTCGACAGAGCTGTTAGTATCCCAAAGGGACGACTTTGGAGAAGTGGGTAATAGAGAAGTGCCAAGCTTTTTTCTTTAAATTTAATTTTAAAAAGGCAGGGAGCGGAGAAGAAGGAGAAGTCTGTCTGGGCAGTGGTTTCTTTTCCCCCGGCAGTTTCCAGACGCAGGTTTCCCAGTGGGATGGCAGTGTCTGGAACTGAGAGGGGCTTGCTGCCCCTGTCCCCCTCTGGGGAGCTCTGGGCAGGAGTCTGCCCCAGCCCCTCCTGGCCAGCTGCCCTCTCACTATTCCCACAATACGTTCCAATTCCACTGAAATTTTGTTCCTGCAGTTCGTAGCAGGCTCCTGGCATTACACAAAGGTGCTCTTGTTGCTAGAGAACTGCAAGTACTTTCTCTTCACTTCCTTAACATCCATTTTAGATTCACAAAAGCAGGAAAAACCTACTTAGAGAAGAGTCAGGATTGCCCCCCTTCTTGTGTTCATCTGAGGTGGTACCTGACTCTTGAGGCTTCTGCAGTGCAGCAGTCCCCATTTCTGGGAGCAGTTCATGTACCCTGTGCTTAAATGTGACCTGTGTAATGGGGTGAGGGACTCCAGTGTCATCTGGCATGGCTTTCTCTGCTGGACGCAGGGAATGTGTGTTCCGTAGTTTCATCCTGCCAGGACTGTTCTGCTGCTTGTGGAATCTCAGGAAAAACAACATTACTGCAGTCCTTGGTGACCTGCTCTGTCCTAGATATTGCAAGGCTTGGATTTTCTATCTCGCAAGCTCCCCCCCCTCCAGATGGAGAACTGGTTTGATGGCAACTGATTAGTTGATGGAGTGATTGCTGAGTGCTGGTGTTCAGCTTAACTTGGGCATTCTCATGAGTGATCTCATGGCTTCCTGCTCGTGGTGGGGAGGTTGGATGAGATGCTCTTGTTCTCATCTCCTGCAGTAGAAATTAATGTTCAAAGACTCAGTCACTCTCCTAGACAGTCCTGGCTAGATTTCCCTCCCTGTCTCCTTAGATGTAGATCTGACATTCGTGTAGCAAGATGGTTCATCAACAATTGTTTGAATACTGATTTAAAAATATCTGGGGAAACAGCTTCTGACCCTTCAGGCCGGAGGGACGAGTCGCTCCCTTTTCGCGTTGCCCCGATGACAGCGTGGCACAGGGCGAGCACAGCCCGGGGGGCTGCAGCTGCCGTGGATGAATGTGGTGGTGAACAGGAGAAAAATCCCACTCACCAAAGTCGTCTTCCCCTCCCTCCCTCCCTCCCTCCCTCCCCCTGGCCCAGCGGGTGCTCCCTGGGTTGCAGCCCTTGGCACACGGTGACCCGCTGGCTTGGCACGTCCTGGTCAGGCCGCGGCGGTGCCGGTGGCCGCGCTCACCCCGCACCAGGGGCCCGCTGCTGGCTGAGCACCCCGCTTGGGCATCTTCCAGCTCGACGGTTTCCCTTTTCTAAAAGTCCATAGCTGCTCGTTTTTCATTATTTAAACAGGATGTTACGGGTAACAGCTGCTGGGCCCAGCAGCAGCTCAGCTCGATGGAGCTTCACACCCAAAGGTGGTTCCGTAAATCTCATTTACTTTGACAGTACAATGAGACACACGTGTATTCTCAGGAAAGCCTTCTGCATACAGCCTATACCTCACGTGTACAGGGGAAGATTGTAGTGTACCTGTTTGTAAGTTAGAAAGTATTTCTCAGCTTTTAATTTCTGAATAGCTTGATATGATCTTTTTATTACGGGTTATTTCTGGCTTGTTTTTTTATACACTCAAGGAATTGTTAAAATTGCATAGGAGTAATTTTATTCTACAGTTACTGAATTATTATTATCTGTTGATGAATAAGTGTTTTAATTAGTGTACATAAAAACAGTCATCTTATTGCCAGCTATCCAACAAAATAATCTATTGGGTAATCTGTGGTTTTCCAAAATAGCCTCCCAAGACTAATGCTGTACCAACAACAACCAAAAACCTAAATTCAGTTATGATGATGAACGGACATGAATGTTCTACTTTCTGTTGTAGAAAGCAAATTTTCCAAAGGTTGATTGGCAGCAGTATCCGTTCCCAAGTACTCATTTGCTGTAGGGAGTAGAAAATCCTTCCTGAACTGACAGGTAAGGAAGCAGCAAACAGAACAGAATCACTGGACAGTCATTCCTGATATCTTCTGCACCAAGTCCTCTAACGACTTGTATTTTTTAAACAGGGTAAAGTGAATGTGTTGCATTGCAAACTCAGGTATTATGAGAAGGTAGGAGTGTAGCTAGAGATGTAGAGACATTAGGTCAGTCGCTAGATGTATTTGTGAATTTGGTTTGAAGGACACCCTGGAAAGGTTGGAATTTTTGTTCCATTCTTCACGTAACATTCGGTTTACAGGGACTCATATTTTATTTGTGCTTAATGCTAGTAGGGGGAAGTTCATTATCTTAGGTATCTATCTGCTCTTGCTTATCTGACCTTCTGTCATAGAGGAATCAATCAACAATAATAGTCTTTGGTAGAATTTTCTGCCATGACAAGTCAATTTTTATCCCCGATTTGAAAGATAAATTGGCTGGCTGACCCCCTCCTCTCCTTCGAAGCGTCTGTGCAGATGGAAAGCTGAAGAGTTACTTTTAATCCGAGCAGAGATTTGGGACATAAATCTGAAGCTTTCGGGCTCACGTTCTCGGAGGGTTGGTGCTGAGGGGTCCTTGCTGCTGTTGTGCAGTTTGAAGGTGTCCCCATGCCAGGAGTGGAGCAGGACCTGCTGCCACTGGCTGATGGGGGGAGTGTGAGACCCCGGGGCCTCAACAACAGCTTTTGGAAGGTGCCTGAGTTTTCTTCCACTTGAGCTCAGGCTCCTGCTGGGTAGCGAGTCCTTGTCCTCAACATGTCCAGCCCTGCAGGGGGGCAGGGGATGAGGGGCAGCCAGGATGCTTGGAGGTGCTGGGTACCCCAAAGCTGCTGGGCTCTGGGCACGGCAGAACTGCTGCGGCAGGAGCTCACTCTCCTCTGCTTTGCCCGTGCATCAGATACTGTTCAGTTGTGAATTGTGCCAGTGACCTCCATCTTTCTCCTTCGTGCCCACCACGCTCTGCAGAGGCACTGTGTGCTTTGGGTCATCAGGGAGCAGCTCTGGACTCCTCTGTAACTCTTAAATCTGGAGCTTTAATTCTTAAACCTTTTGCCATCTCCCGTCGCACACAGAGCGCGGGGGGAACGCGGCGCTCCCAGGGTGAGCCGTGGTCAGTGGGATCACCAGCCAGTGCAGGTGAGCTGCTGCCCCAGTAACACCCGTGTTCCCAGTGCTGGGGTGTTGCTTTGAGAGCAAGGGGTCCCAGTGGTGTGAACAGGGCTCCTGGACTGCTCTTGCTTGCCAAGGGAGGCCTGGGTGGCCGTGTCACCACCCTGCAAAGGCTCAGGTGCCACTCGCTGCTGTCCCTCCTGTGCCACACGTGGCAGGATCTGCCCTGGCTCTTCAGGTTTCTGCACAGACCCACAGCCACCTCAGGTTAAGCAGTTCAAGTCTTGTCCTTCAAACCAACTTTTTTTAAAAAAACTTGAATTCTTTTACCTTTACTACATTTTTTAAAAGCTAAAAAAGGAAAAAAAAAAAGATTCTCCTGTGAATGTGCTATTTCCCACTCGTTCTTTCTTCCTTCTTGGTTTTGATTTGAAGCTATGAAGCTCGGTGTCTGTGAAAATGTTGTTATTTCTCAGGATAATAAGCGGCAATCATCCCTGCCACGTGAAAGGCAGGAGAAAGGGGGAAACTTGGGGAACTAGTTTAAGTATGAAACTAATTTTTAAGTTGTAGATGATGTGTAAATGGAGGGAAATGCATAGCTGTCAGTGTCAAGCTGTGGCGTTTCTCTGGGTTCACGGTGTGTTGTTTCAATACACAGAAGCTCAGGGATAAGTATTTAAAATGTGACCCAGAGAAACCCTAGTTTTGATGTTGCAACAGTTGCTTCTTTCGTGACTTGTCTGAGAGCTGACCAAAGCCCCATATGGAGATTTTGGAGGAAAAGCTTTAGGTTTGGCTGTGAGAAGTTTGCCTGCTGAAGGCTCAGGTGTGGTCCTATGGGCAAGCACCCCAAAGGTGTGTGGTGCTGCCAGCACATCAGCTCCTGGGTCTGGGGGAGATTTGTCTCTATTTCTGCATTACCTCATCCTTCTCCTTTGGTGTTAAACGTGTTTGAGTGCTTGTGGAAAAGGGGAAACGGGAATTTCTCATTGTGTCCCTGGCAGCCAATCCCAGAGCTCTGTACTCTGTTTGTTGCTTATGAATTACAGCATCTTAATTTTCCTCAGTACAACTTTCTCACCATGGTCAGAAGGTTGTAGTCAAAGTCAGACTGTTTGAGAATGGACACTCGTAGCAGCTCTAATCCACCAGTACCTAACGGCCTGTCCAGCCATGGGCAGGGCCAGCACTGAGCCAAAGGCATTGAAAGTTTGCAGGGCTGAAACTCCCCTCCCAACACCCTCAGCCAGGATCTGCAAATTGGAGCTTAAACGGGCCCGCAGAAATCAGGGGAGGCCAATCTAGGCAGTGTCTTCCCCTTGGAAAAAAACTTAAAGATTATAAATAGCTCCTGTAAGCTGCCTCTGACAAGTCCATGAAAGAAGCAACATGGTTCAGTGGAAGAAAAGCCTCCAAGGGCAAAAAGAAACAGAAATTGAAACCAGATGACGATCAACCTTAACAAAGCCTTTTGTGATTCATTGTTTTCTTTCAATTTATAAAATGTCTTGTAATAGTTGATAACATTATTGACTCAATTTCCATAACTAAACTACCTCGTGTGACATCCTGTTTATCATCGCAAAGGGATTGTGTGAAAAACTAAACACTGTCAGTGTCTGTTGCCAGCGAGGAACAGGGGCTGTGATGGCTGAAATTGTGACTCCCTCCTTGTGGGTGTCCCTCCTGGGGAGGTCGTGGCTCATGTTAGTTTGGTTTTTGTTGGTGCCCATCAAGCCACGGGCCTGGTTCCAGCTCAGTCCTGGTGCAGAGGGTGTGTTTGTGTCCTGGGCCCTCACAGCTCCTTGCGTGTCCGTCCTGGGCAGCCTGGGGAGGCAGCGGGTCCGGTTTGCTGTGTGTGCTTGTGTCGGCCCCTCGCTGGCTTGTGGGATGATTCCGGGAGGGTTGGTCCCGGTTGTCAGGTCCTTCTGCTGATGTCCCAAGTGATGGTTTCTCCTATTCATTTTTCCCACAATCCCTTGTGTAAATCAGGGAAGCAGGATGTTGCCTCGGCATGACACACGGTGAACATTGGCACACTGGGAGCCGGGGCTGGGGCAGGACAGCATGTCCAGCCGGTGCCGCCCTGGCCCCGTGGCCCGAGGAGGAGCAGGCCCCGTGCTGTACCCGGGAGCTGCCCCTCGTCACTGCTATGACCAAATGAATGTCTGTGCCGGCGTGTCCGGGCGCGCCGTGGCACCGTCCACACCAGCCCGACCTGCCCCTGCTCCGCTGCTCTGCTCTGGGACTTGACTACCTGTGGAAATGTGACCAATAAGTGTTGAATGCATGTTTAGTGAGTGTTTAGCTGTATGAACTAATAAATGTGAATTGTTCTGCAGCGCTGGCGTCTGCTGGTCCCTTGCATATTCCCCCTTTGGCAATGGCTCTCTCTTGGGGTAGGGGCACCCTCAGGGTGTGGGAGCCCAGCGCTGGTCTGGGTGGCAGCCACGGCACTGCCCCGCCTGCTGCTGCCCTGGAATCATCTGCAGATCTGGGGAAGGCCTCAGTGCTATTGATGCAGCTGGGACTGGCATGAGGGCACAAGCCCTGCCCAGAGCAGCTGCAACATGGACTGGCAGTGGCCTCTGCTGAGAGCAGGGTTGTCTGGGGGGACCCTGTGCCTTGGGGGTGACAGGAGCGGAGACAATGCAAAGAGTGAAGGTTCGCACAGTCTCTGGGCCCTGCCAAGCAATGGGTGTGTGGTGGTCCCATCTCCTGGCTGGGTTCCAGGAGGAGAAGGCAGGAGGATGGGTTTTCTCCATTCAATCACTGCACACATGGCACAGCCACAGCATTACTGTCACCAGGGGGTTCCAAACTGGGGGATGGCCAGAACATGCAGAGGGTCACTGTCACCACGGGGTGCAGCAGGAGGAGGGTTTGCACCAGCAGCAGGAGGAGGAGTAATCCAAAGAAGCAAATGCACCAGAGATGCTTGGCCAGCGCCCTCCGGAGAGAGGAACTGCAGGAATCATTTAGCAATCCCTGGTGTTGCTGAGGGAGGTGTGTTAAAAGCCTGAGCAGCACTTTCCACATTCACACTCCTGTGCCTGGGAGCACATGTGGGGGCCCACTCAGGAGATGTGCTGCTGCAAAGGCAGCTCCAAGTGAGCAGCCGGCCCCGCTCCCCTGGTCCTGCCACGAGCCGCTGCCCCGCTCCTCTGCCGAGCGCTCTCAAGGCTCCTGCCCTCTCATTGTGTTCATTTTCCTTGCTGACAGCATCCCCTCGGCGGAGCAGCTCCAGCGGCTTTGACACGGTGCCACCCGGGATTTATCCCCCTTGAGGGGGCTCTGAAGGTCGGCAGTGGAGGGGCTCCCTGGGAGGTGGCAGAGGATGCACCATGCACGTGGGGTGATGGGTTTGTCCTCACTTTCAAACCAAGCTGGAGTTGCGCAGAGGTGACAAGGTGGCTTTTCCCCTCACTCTGGCATGAGGGGCTGCCTGGAAAGGAGGGCTGGAGTGGGAAAAGTACCAGTACATTTTAATTTTCAGCTCAACCCCTACTGACCACTGTATTTTGATTAGAGCTCTGCTTCCTTTTCATCTCGGTGCTCCAGCGGGTGACAACTGCCACAGCCTCATGCACGCGGCGCAATAGTTTATCACCGAAGGCCAGCGGCTCTATGAATTCAGAGCCAGCGCGGAACAAATCACACTGTCACTAACGTCAAACTTGTTAACCTGATCTTTGGTGGATCACTAGTGTCAACATTGCATGGGACATACATTATCGGGCCCAAGGACTTTGGGAGATGTGTTTGTCAGGCTGCTCTGTCACAGTCCCACTCTTGACCTTCACAAAGTAACTTTCAAGGGTAAGTTGCTTTCCTCTTGACAAGAGTGGCTGTTCCCAGGAGTGTCACCCCATGGGTACTAGCTGGGACAGGGCTGTGGGGTCAGCTGGGTCACCTCCCTGCAGTGTTGGGGTCAGCCCAGCAATGGTGAAGGATCTGCTGGGCTGGTCCTGTGAGGCCCCTTCCAGGGTTGGGGAAGGTTTTCCATTGATGTCCATCCCTGCCCGTATCTAATCCATGAGCTTCCCTCCATCTTGTCACCAACTGTTCCCGCATCTCATCTCTTGCCTGGTCGCTGTCCTTTTGGAGTTTAGACCTGAAAACCAGACTGCTGAGTGCAGCAGACTGGTGGGTCGCCATTGGCTGGACCATCACAAGTCTCTCACATCTCGGTTTGCCAAGTGCAGGTGCTTCTGACGGGGTTGGTCACCACTGCAGAGGTCAGATGAAGGACATGTCACCACAACTGGGCTGGTAACAGCATGGAGAGGAGGTGTGTGCTCCCGGTAAGGTCCTGCACAAGCTCTAGGGGGCAGTTGGGTTTTGTGGTACCTTTGCTGGGGGTGGTGGATCCCCTCCCTGCAGCCCCCACAAGGCGGAGGGGAATGGTGCCACAGGAGGCCCTGGGCACCCTGTGTGGGTCTGGGTGCTGAGGGATCTGCAGGTTAGGACTGTGCTGGAGAGGATGTGGCTCATGGCTGGAGGGACCCCGAGGCAAGTGCTGGATCTGTGCTCCACATTGCTGTCCTTGTGGGCTGACCCTGCTAATCAGCTGTGAAAGAGAGAGAAAGCTGGAAAGAAATCTTTCTCTCTGCTAACCTCATCACAATAAAGATTCCTATAAAGAGCTCTTATCCTTGAAGAAAATGAGGCACATAAGCAGGAATAGTAAACAAAAGGCTGTCATTTTGACCCAGGAGTGCTTCATGTTGTTGGCAACTGCCAAGAGGAAACATAAAGAGAGGCTGCATCCAAGTCCCAATTATGCAGAACTATGTGACTGATATGTCAATGAGTCCCCTCGGGAGGAGACCACCAGCGCTTCCCAGCGCTGCCCGCGCAGCATCTGCACCCGCCGCCACGTGCCGGGCCGCCCGCGCCCCGCGCCAGGTGTGTGGCACCGCAGGAATGCGGGGACAAGGTAATGTCATCGGGAGCGCTATCGCCGCGTCCTCACCGCGCGCGAATTATCGGCACGGCCCCGGAGTCAGGGACTGCGGGCAGGCAGCGGGGTTTGGCAAACAGTAGTGCAGGCCACACCTGCTGCAGGCACGCTCCGGGAACGTGGCGCAGGCAGGAGGGCTGCCCTGGGCCGATAAACTGAGTGGATGGAGATAAAATCCGAGCAGGAGATATGCTTTGCTGAGCATCAAGGCTACGCACCAGTAAGGAGCCAAAGCATACCGTGGCCCGCAGCGGGTGGTGTGGATCCACAGCTCCAGCTGTGCTGGGGCCATGCTGGGAGGACGTGAAGCAGCAAAGTCACCAAACCAACAGCCAGGGCTTTGGTGACAGATGTGCCGGTGCTTGGGCCTGTCGGTGGCACAAGACAGAGACTGTGCTGCTCCCTTAGATGTGACAACGCTGTGACAGGGCAGCAACTTTGGGGCCTATCCCCAGCCCTGAACTTCCCCTCCCCAACATGTCCCGTGTAGCTGGAAGCCACAAGCCACCTCGTCCGTCCCTCCTGGGTGCTATGACCCCTAAAATGTCACCCATCTGCACCTCCTCCCTGTCCCCAGGGACCCCTGAGGCTGCCCGGAGGCGGCTCTACCCGGTGCCTGTGTGGCCGCTGCAACTCAGCCTTCTAGACCCACCCTCCTGCCACCAGCGGCCCATGTGCTGGCCCTGACCGTGGCCATACTGCAGGAGCTGGGCCACAGCCTTGGCCAGGGCCAGTGCAGAGGAAAGTGCCCAAGGCCGGCAGGGACGTATTTACCCCCGAAAGCACCTTGCTGCAAAAATAGCAAGTGGCCGGTGTGAGGCCGGGGCTTCCCGGGGGAACAATGCCTGGCAGGAGGAAGCGGCTGCGGCCGCCCCACAGCCCCGTCCCGCCTCGCAGGCCGCTGAGCCGTGAGCCGCTGCGTGCCGGCCCGGCAGGGACCTTGAACCTGCCACAGATTTATTTTCTCTGACATTGGCATCGCGTCGGAACATCTGGCATGTGGCTGATAATTGCTGGGGATCAGGGCGGAAGCCGCTCCGGGCCTGGCGCTTCTTCCAGAGCTCTGTTTTCATTAGTTTTTCTCCTCTCTTCAGCTGCAATGCAAGGAAAAAACAAGCAGGGCTGCGCAGCCCATGCTCCTGCTCCTCTCCCCGCGGCACCAGGGGCTCTCTGCTCCCCGACTCGACGTGGGTACACTGCAGGGCACGTCACTGCCGCTCCACGTCAGGGCTGCGCTGATAGAGGGAGGGGACCAGCCTTTCGCTGACCCCTGAGCCCAGGACTGTGGGCCCTGCTGTGCCGCCCAGGTTGCCAGCAGCCACCTGGCCAGAGCAGAGTCGTGGCACAGCCCTCGCTGTGCTGGTGTGGGGCTCTAGGCCGCGGCAGCCACTCCTTCCTGGGGCTGTCGTCACTGGGACAAAGCAGGGAGAGGACACTGCACAAACGTGTGGGAAGACACGGTGGTGATGGATGGCTGGAGCGCAGGGCCGGCTGTGGGGGCGGATCCCTGCTCTGCTGGGATAGGGGGGTCTCTTATGCAGCCTCCTGCCCCAGCATTGCCATTCCCATGTTTCATGGGGTGGTTGGGACCCAGGCCCTGTAGCTGGCACAGTGCCCATGGGTAGGACCATGCCCAGTGAAGGAACATGGGGAATCGGATATGGCAAACACAGCCAGAGCTTGGCTGCCTTGGCCCAGGGACGCTGCCTTTCTGCCAGTGCTGTTCTGGCACAAGCAGAGTCGCTGGCCATGGGCGCAGTGAGCCCCAGGGACCCAGGAGTGGGGCCCTGAGTGTGGAGGAGCCTCCTCCCACCCTCCCCTGCAGAGGAGACCTCCCTTGGCCAGGAGGCCGGGCTGTGTCTCAGTCCCGGGTGGGTGAAGTGGGCTCACGTTCCTCCCAGAGGTGTCTTGCCCCATGCCCTCGTCCCCCTCCCTCCCACTCTGGGCTGTAAATTAGGGTGTCTGTGGGTCCTGGTGCACTCCCTGCCGCCCGCCGGTGCCCCCTGCTCCCTGCAGGGTCTCCCTCCCGGGGCGTGTTATCTGCTGTGGGGGTCCCACTTATCTTCGCTGTCACTTTCTAATGCTAGTTTATGGGCAGCGTTCTGTAGCTTAATTATGATGTTTTTCAGCACGGTCACGTGGCCACAGAAGCCAATAAGGCACCAAAGTGGGTCCATCCCGTCTGAGCCTGGCCCCCATGGGGAGGAGATTGGCCGGTGTCCTGCTCGGGGCGGTGTGTGCACAGCCAGAGCCCCGACACCTTCCCGGCGGACACAGGTCCCATAAATCCCCCAGCCTGCCGCGGACAGGGCAGCAGTGCCCACACCCCAAGGAGGCTCCTCGGGTCGCAGCTCCTGGCCGGTGGCCGAGCGAGGCTC